TTAGGAGAACAAGGGGAAGAAGGAAACCAAGATTCTACTCATGTTGCTTCATCGGTTAATCTATGTGAGGGGGGAGTGAGAAACTTCACTCGAAGTGTAGGGATAATGTTGGGTAGTCAAGATTGACCCCCAATCCTTTGTATGTGTATGCTACGGATTTGTGAGAGTTTTCTGTTTTGATTTATGAATGTTCCTTTGTATTTCTTGTTTGATTCTTAGTGCGAATATGTATTTGATTCCTGAAATTGATATGTTTTGATTTGACGTAGAGTGCTCTATGGGTTCCTATGGTAAACCCTAACAGAAATAATTAGGAATGTGGTTAACTGGTTTGATTTGATGTGCTGATGACTAAATTGAGTGTTATTTCGTGTTTTGAACGTATAAAGGAATATTTGTACCGATAAGTTATAAAACTTGATGAATTGGTGTAAAAGTGGTGGAGTTCGTGTACAGTAATATGCATGTTTTACGTTTCGCATTGGAACAGAGTGAATCATGGGCGTGATTGGCGAGTCACGGCCATGATTGACTATGTTGGGAACCCTCATTTTCACACGTGAATCACGGGCGTGACTAGTGAGTCATGACCATTATTGACTCTGTTGAGAACCCTCACTCTTGCTGATGGAAGAAAGTAGGGAGAAGTGATGGATGTTCTTCTCCTTAGCTCCTCCTAGCCACGGATCCTCTTTAAGGAGATAACATCGAATGGAAATGAAACTTGAAGGATGAATGAACACGGATGATGAAGGCTAAAGCCTTGGATGGAAGTATCCAAGCTCAAGATGCAAGAGAAAGCTCACACTCAAAGAGAAGGAAATCCTAATGAATTCCTAAAGGTGAAGCTCACTCTCTCTCTAGAAGACTTTGAAGAAACTCGGCACTTGGCTCTCAAATTTCAATAATGTTCAAAGTGAATACAAATGGTGAAGGAAACACTTAAGTAAGCTCGGTTTTGCACACTTTGGGCGCCTAAATCAAAAGGTGACATATGGCGCCCAAAATTTGAATTCAAATTTGAAATTTGAATTCAAATTTTGGCTCCCATGTGCTACTCCGAAAATTCAGGTACCTAAGGTGCATCTAAGTGTAATTTGGAGTGTCATTTAGGGTTAATTTGAGGTCACATGTTCAGCCACCAAAGGTGCAAAACATGTGACTCAAATGTAACTTAAATGGCTTCCAAATTAAACCTAATTTAACCTAATTAGCCTACTTTAGTATTCCTTGTATTTTCCTAATCTAATGACCTAAATACAATGGTCAAACAAATACAATGGAAAGGAAAAATTACAAGAATGAAAATGAGCCCAATATTGGGTACCAAAAGCCCAAAGGCCCATGAAGCCCAAAACTAGGCCCAACAAGCCTAAAACCTAAAATGCTACTCTATGTGGTCCAAAATACAAGACCAAAATATATGATACCTATACTAACATGATGTATACAAAACATATGAAAATAGCTATAACAAAATATGGCCCATGAAAAGTTCAACTTGGGCCTTCCTAGGCCCAATGGGCCCGATGGGCCCTGACAGGCCCAAACCTTCATGTCTAGCCAACTCCTCTTGGTTCTTTGAGTATGTCACCTCTTGCACTCCAAAGCATGATTCCATCACTTGCGTATGAATCACAGGCATGACTGGTGAGTCATGGTCGTGATTGACCCTATTTGAGAATCCTCACTTTTTGTGAGTGAATCATGGGCGTGACTCACTAGTTACGATCGTGATCTTCCTTGCTTGCAGTTTTCATGAATTCCATCACTCTTTATAATGCCCCAACCTATGTCTCACGTATCAATATGCTATGTGTGATGCGCTGTCTTATGTTGGTATGGAATGTGATGAAGGTTATGATTTTACATTGAATGTGGCAAGCGTGTGTTAGAGCATAAGTGAAAAGTACATGACTGGTGAATGTGTGACATGCATCATGAGCATATGTGACTCTAAGTGTTTCGCTTAGGCCACATGCCAGTGTACTGGATTATTCTAGGTGTGTCGCTGAGGCCACATGCCAGTGTAGTTATGTGAATTCCATGTGTGTCTTTGGGCCACCAATGATATATTTATGATTACATGGGCCCCAAGTGTGTTGTCGTATCAACTTATCAATGACAAGAAATATGTGAATTTCGTATGTCGCCACATGCATGTAGTGAGTAGTATGCATGACTTCGAGACATGAAGGTGATTATGATTGCTTTGGATATGCTATTTGTATTGCATGTATTGTGTGTGTGGGCTATTTAGCATTTGTTTATGCACATTGAGTCTGCGTGAGACATTTCTCACCCCCTTTGCTGTCTGTGTTTGTTGTTTTATTGTGATGTGCAGGTGAGCCTCAACAGGATGCTTAAGGTGTTGATGGGGAAGTCCAGTCGAGAAGCTCTAATTAGACTATGTGACACCAGGGTTAAGCATTAGGGAATTTTCATTTATTGTGTTTTGATGGAATTCCTTATGTTATTATTTTTACCTAAGGATTTATGTTCAAACGATTTTATGTTCTATGAAAGGATTTCTATATTGTGAACTCTCTACTCATGATTCGGAAGAGAACGTCCTATTTCAATTGAAGTATTTTTGAATTTATTTTATTTTAAAGAGAATTACGACCTTTTAATGTTGAATATATGATGCGGTATAGAGGGTGTGGCATGAAGGGTCAAAAAGGTTCAAAGGGGCTAACAAGTGGAAAAGATGTAAGGTAAGAACATTAGACTAGAAGCTTATAAAGAATGAATGCCTATATCATATCAATAATGCATGTGAGATAATAAATATAAAGAGGGTCAAAGCAAAGCCTAGAGCAATAACAAGATGAGTGAATCACACTAGAAAGAATATGGCGTGGAAAAGATGTCTATCCATCAATTAAGGCTCAAAATCTCACAAGGTATATAGTTCTACCATCAATGTTTCAAACTCTAATTTTCCAAATTAACTTACAAAACCAAAAACGAAAATGAGTTATTTCATGATGTTCAACCAATCAACAAAAAATGGTACAACTTTCTAAATTCATACACCTATAAATCCAAAGAAAAACAAGAAAAATTTCCCCAAATGCTTTAAAATTTTTCTATTTTTTTCAAATTTTTTTTTTTCAAAAACAATAAAAAGCACTAAAAATTATTAAAAACAACAAAACTGTAGTAAAACAGAGAAGAAATAAATACAGAAAATAGAAAATAAAATTCATACAACAAATTTATACATAATACAAAAACATGAACAGAAATAGAAAACAAAATGAAGTACAAAAATCTAAAATAGTATAGTAAACTAGAAAACAAAAAATACAACAGAAACAATAAACATACTATACAACAACATTAACAGGACAGAAAATAGAAAACAACAGAAACAATATGGTGAAATATGATTAACTTTTATGTTGCTTGTATGGTATTTTGCATTTATTCTATCTTATTCTCACATTATATTTTATCTTATTCTAACCACTAAATGGGTACTACATGATTTCATATTAAAAAGAATTATTAATATTTGGTAGATTAATTAGTATAATATTAATTTTTAACCTAAAAGTTTTAAATTTGAGTCTTATTTTTATCAAAATGATTAATTTTTAATATTATTTTTTATTATTTAAAAATGTAAAGGTAAAATCATCTAAAAATATGTGTACACAGAATGGGACAACCCTCTTTATTATATGTTATAGATATATACTAGATGGTTATGTGAAATTAATTAAATTTTTTTAGAAAATTTAATTATAAAATTAAGAAACAAATAAAATAGATATAAATATCTCGCTATATTATAATCAATTATATATTTAGTTAAATTTTAAATAAAGTGACCTAATTAAATAGTAATGTATTATAATAATTATACTTTTGAGTATCATATTATGTATAATTATCATATTCTTCTAAAGAAAATATTTTATCATCTTTTAAGTATAAATCAAAATATATGAATAATTTTCATATCGTTGAAACTTGCATTCAAATCAGAATATTACATAATTCAAATTAAAATTTACAGCTATTTTAAATCATTTTGAAAAGCTATATGTAATAGATAATAGTCATAAATACAAGAAAAAAAAAATAACAAAGCTTATACTTATATAATAAAAATGATGAATTAATTTATTCTAACTTATATATGCAAGGTATACTTATTTATACATTATTAATTCAGTAAGTTCAATTTATAAGTATCTTTAATAAAAATAATTTTTAAAAATTGATAATTTTCTTTTTATATATTTTTTTTTTATATAGATAAACTTTATTTTTTTCTACAATAAAATATGATTTCAAAATTTTGATTTATATTATATATATATATATATATATATATATTTGTGTGTGTAATTTATTATAAATTTTAGTTATATGTAATAAATATTTAACTTGTGCATTGTCAAATTAAAATACTTTTTATATTTAAAATTAGTATAAATAGATATTTTTTAATATTAAAATATATTCTAAATTTAAAATAAATAAAGATTATTTGTAGTAATATCTTTTATATTTTAAAAAAATCTAATTATTGATAAATTATTTTAAAAATATTAAAATCTAATTTATGGATAAATATAATAAATAAAAAATAATTTAAAAATTAATAAAAATCTCTTTCAAGAATAAATTTTAGAAGTAATCTTGTAAAACAATAGACCTTAAAAACAGTCTTATTAAACAATACATCTTAAAAACACTCTCATACAATAGAATAATCATATTTAATATTTATATACATAATATATGGGAATCGATATAAATGAAATTCTCAGGAGGATTATTGATTCTTGTGATCGCATGGTTCCATCCAATATACGTACCCACTATATAGATTAATAATGCGAAAATGATAATAATAAGATTAAAGAAATTAGGCACACATTTCAAGACAGTCTGTACATTTTCGAAGATTAGGACCTTTAAATGTTCTATATCCACACACACAATTGTAACAACAAATTTCTTTAGAATATAACCCACCACAATAATTGGTATCCATTGATTTGTATTTTATATATTTGTGGATCAAATCATATTACATGTGCTCCACTTTCTTTAGGAGCTTCAAATTAATAATCAAAACATAAACTTCTAAAAAATCAACCAAAGTTCAAAGCTGGTGCCTAGTATGATCTGCATATCCACTGAAATATAATCCACATCATTGCTTCAAATTCAAAATAATTATCATTTTTTTTTAAATTTTCTAAACTAAATTCTCAAGAACAAGGACCTACAATAACTGAGCTTGTGGGCAAGAGAAGAAAGGGAGGATCCCAGGCATAGGAGAAGCTAACAGCATCGAAACCCTTCACGGGGTTGCCTTTGTTAAGGAGGCAAGTATCACCTTCCACTGAAAAAATTGATGGGTCAATAGTTTCAGCACTTTGAAACCCTTTGCAAGCCAACTTTATCTGACTCTGAACACACGAGCAATTATTGATCACAGTCACGTTCCACTCGGGCTTGCCCTGAATTTCTCTCCCACTTCTTGTTGTGCCAATATTGATGTTGTTCAAGGAACACTCGCATGACCCTGAAAATTTTATTTTGTGGCACAGAAAATTGAGAGAGGAAAATCACGAGAAAAGTCGAAGTGAAACTGGTTAGGATAAGAAAACATGTGTTGGAAGAAAAGAAAAAGTGAAAAATCAGAGAATATTATTAGAGCATACCTTTGATGATCATGGTAAGGAAGAGGATGGAAACAATGTGCACGAAGGCTGCTGCCATCGTTCTTAGCGATTGACTCTTACGACTTTGGTTTTCTAATTAAATACGAAATAGCTCCCTATGTTAGGCTAATATAGAGGAACAAAATGGCTAAAATTAATTGGATTAGATATATTTAGCCTCCAAACTTTCCCACAAAATATAATATTTAAATTTTAAAATTGAATCTGAATTAAATATGAACATTTTTAATCCGATTTGATAATGATATGATCCGGAATTAATTTGCAAAATCTTAAAAAAAAAATTAATAAATAAAAGGCACATTTTTTATTTATCAAAATTAAATTTTTTAAGTCCGATTTGCAACCCATTTTACCACTTTTGTGTGCTTTTTTCGGACTTATATGATGGCATAGGTTGAATAAGACACTATAAACTAACACAATGGAGCTTAATAAAGTGAATATTCGTGTTTTCTCCAATATCTCGTTGACTATCTCTCCTCTTTAATCACATCACGTATGGACTCTATTGAAATTAGGTGATTACCTAGTATATATACATTTTTTTCCCCACATATATATTAAGGGTAAAGTTATCAAATTGGTAAGCCGAGATGCTCCGTGCCACCAATTTTCTTACGGGTAATTTATTTTGTTATCTAGATTCCAGTCTGATTCGTTGACCAGTTGCGATGGGTGAATGCTTTTATTTTTATTTTTATTTAATGTTAACATAAGTAAATAAAAAATAAATATTAGTCAAATAGATTCGATAGATTTCATTCCTAAATATTAATGACTCGGTTGATCATCGGATGAGTTAATTGACCTAATTTTTTGCCAAGCCACTTTTTCATAGTATAATCTAAATTGATTTTTGGATCATTTTGACAGCTCTAATTAAGAATTTTTATATATTAAATTACTAATTTATCACATCATACATATATAATATAATATGAGTTTAATGACAATGTATTGTTATTATAAAAACTTCTGTATTATCAATCACTTATAAATCGTAATCTTTTTTTAATGTAAATATTGTAAAATTTAACAAATTTATTATATCCTGTATGGGGTATGGTTCTCGTATTTATAAACTCTCCTCGAGGGTGGTTACTCCTACGTGAATCCATCATGGGCGCATAACTGCCATCCACTACGTCCTTTACGTGGGTTTAAAATATAACTTCATTCTCCGCCTGCGCATATGGCTTTCGTGCAAGGAATTGTTTTTGGGTATGACTACTTCTCAGCCACTTTTCTTTTCTCTTTTTAGGATTAGAATTAGTGTAGTTTCTTTTTTGTTAATCACGTAGTTTAGTTGCATAATTATGCTTCAGCATTTCAATTGTAATTCTATGCAAGTGAACCATGATCTGTATTGCAAATATATGTATTGTTCATTCTGTTCATCTGAGTATTTATGTGCATGAAAATTATTACTTAACATGCATACCTAAAACTAGTTCAATTATGTTTGGAATTAAACGTGTCCCACTGGGCGTGCCAATTTGTTTATGGTGGAATTCGTTTATGGATTCTTTTTATTCGAACTAGCACGACAAATGTTTCAATTTAGGTATATTACGTTTTGAATTTTGAGGAACAAGAGAACATGGAGTAGAGAGATTAATAATTACTTGTTTCTAAATATTCATCAATAATTAACAAGTAATAATTTTCATGCACATAAATACTCAGATGAACAGAATGAACAATACATATATTTGCAATACAGATCATGGTTCACTTGCATAGAATTACAATTGAAATGCTGAAGCATAATTATGCAACTAAACTACGTGATTAACAAAAAAGAAACTACACTAATTCTAATCCTAAAAAGAGAAAAGAAAAGTGGCTGAGAAGTAGTCATACCCAAAAACAATTCCTTGCACGAAAGCCATATGCGCAGGCGGAGAATGCTTGAGAGTTCAGTTCAAGTATGAGTTTTCCAGCCTCCTGTATGGGGTATGGTTCTCGTATTTATAAACTCTCCTCGAGGGTGGTTACTCCTACGTGAATCCATCATGGGCGCATAACTGCCATCCACTACGTCCTTTACGTGGGTTTAAAATATAACTTCTCGTAACCATTCGTCACTACATCCTTTTCGTGGGTTTGAAATATAACTTCTCGTAACCGTTCGCCCCACGTGTTTTTATCTCTTCGATTTATTTTTCACTAGGATAATCAAACACTACTTGAAAACCTCTAGTAGCCTGAAACTCCCAACGAAGTTTTGAGTGAGACAAATATAATACATGTTGTTATCTCTAACAAGTGTGTTAGTGTGTCAGAAAAACATAAGAACATGTAAAATGAAGAACAAACATATGCATCCGATGATACACGACGACAGACGAAAGGGTAATATAAGACAAATCAAGAACAAGACGAAAACGCGTCAAGCACAACCTAAAGCAAACATAAAGACTCAGACGAAGGCTGGTCAAAGATCATTTGAAAGTCTAACCATATATGAGTTGACCAGACATAAATTGTCACGCAACCATCTGAGAAATCAAGTTTCATAGGACAATTTGAATGTCATCCAAACTCATAGAAGAACACACGAAGTCATCGAAACTGTGAGAAGAAAAGAAGAAAGGGGACAATTAAGCACAAAACTAGAAGGAGATTGGACGTAGCTCAATTTGAGTGAACCAGTATAAAACCATCTACACTATTTATCTGTATTTTGGACGTGAATTAACTGAGGAATCACTTATAAAATTTCTTCCAATATTTTTTTTAAAAACAAGTTTTAGACGCAGACGTAAATTTTGTTCAGCTTATTTATCAAACTGGAAGTTTCGTCTATTGCTTATTTTCAAAACACAACTATCTTTAAATGGAAGATACGCACTGTTAATTTATCACTTTAAGAAACATCTTCCCGAAGCAGACGACAAAACTTGCAGACGCAAACATCTTGAGCTAAGCAAACCTTGTATAGTCGTCCAACGTTTTTAAAACCTTGATTAGACGAATCAAGTTATCTTTGTGAAAAGTTTATAAAAATTCTCCTTGTTCACACAGACACATATTCAATCCCCCTTTCTATGTGTTTTTCATGTCTAACTTCAATTGGTATCAGAGCTTAACCCCTTGGGTTGAGCATCTAACAATGCAAGGGTACATAACGATCCATGGAAGAACTAGGACAAAGGAAAGCTGAAGAGCAATGAAGACGAATGACTGGTATAGGTAAAACAGGTATGATCTTATCTACTCAAATAAAAAAAGTTCTATATATTATGAGAGTAAATCCTATCCATTGCACTATAATACTGATGCATGTACCAATCTGCATAATAAGGAACACAATAGGAAAATAAACTCAGTAAACCATTGTGTCTATGTATTCCTAAAAATGATGCAGGAGATTATAGAATTTGAGACTCGTCGTTAGATGGAGTGTGTAAACCACTTCTCTTGCGTCTGAAAAATTTAACTCGTCACACTGTCATTATTGAACGAAGTGCAGTTGGGGACAAACATTCTCCACATTTGGAGGAGTACAACGATTAAATTATTAAACGACAAAACTGTCATTTGGAATTTTCTCTTAAAAAGACTAATCCTTTAACCTGAAATTAATGCGAGGTGCGCGACAACCCACATAAGGAAGGCAAAAAGGCACCACGTCATGTGAATTATAAGGAAAATAAAAAACAGAAAATATCCTTCTGTTTTAAAAAAAAACTTTATATCTTCCCTCGTATTAGAAAACGTTCTCCCTACACTTTTTAACTTTGAAACTCAAAACTCTTTACTTTTGTCTCAAATCTCTAAACCCTAATCTTTCATCTCTAAAACCCTTCTCCTCCACTACAATGGCCGCACAAACTGGAAACGCTGCAGATGTGAATATTCCTGCAAAAATGCGCGAAGCTACTGACTATGCTCATACCTTCTCTACAGAAGAAAATCCAGTTATGTACTTAGAGCATCGCTTCAACATTAACAAAATGCAGGAATTGGGTATACCTATCTATAAGGATTTGGCCAACTGCAGAATCCTTGGGTGTTTCAACATTAAGGAAGTAGTCTACCCTAGTCTGATAAAGTTGTTTTTACAAATCTCTAAGAATCCATCAAGGATCTTTTGAAGGAAAAGTGCTTGGAATAAGGGTCAAGATATGCCCCTCCATCATCGCTCAAGCCATTGGATGTGAAAGAGCTGGGAACACTTACTGGGAAGAGTGGATTTCCGATGCCGGTGGGCTGACAAAAGTTACCAAGACTCTTCACAAAAAGGGTGAGAAAGGGCCAATAGTTTACAACAAGCTTGTTGACAAGGCCAAGATTTATCAACAAATTCTGAACAAATCAATCCTCTACAAGATAGGTGGCAAAGACAGCATATCATATATGCACAAATTCTTCTTATTCCATATGATGACAGGAACCTCCTTTGACCTGCCTCAAACGCTATTTCAGCATTGGAAAGGATGCCTGAAAGAACGCAAGAATTTCATAGTTCACACCATGCTTCTAAATAAAATTCTCTGGGATCAAGGCGTCTATCACAAATTTCACAATCTTGGAAACAAAGAAGAGAAGCAGAAGATCATGGACATGGGGTCAAACAAACGCCTATAGCCTATCATTTTCGGAAAGGCTAATCTAGGGAAAATGCCTATAACCTACACCATTCCTGATCTCACCGAAGAAATTGAAATAAAGAAGGAGATTGGAGAAGGGCAGTGTGCGATGCGTTCAACAAGGAAGCGTCAATCATCTACATCTCCCATGAAAGCTGAACCTCTGGCTGCTACAACACCAACAACTAGACAAAAAATGATTCTCCATTTAGACGAAGAATCCACGTCTGATGCTGAGGACAACCAACCGATTGGAAAGGTTATAAAAAGAAAATTCGTGTCACCTCCTCGTGCACCACCTCAATTGACAAAGAAAAGGATCATAAAGCTCGCATAAAAAATTATGGCTAAACCTGCGACTGAAGGTATCACCACTTCAATTCAGATGAAGATGCTTGCAAATACTCCCTCTCCTCTCGTCACTTTACGTTCCTCTTTCGTAAGTGATATCTCTCTATCCTCCCTTCCTTTGAACTCCTAATGAAGAACGTCTGATTAAAATGTTGATAAACTAGATGGTTATAAATT